GGCCGTCTCGCCCGAGCAATTCCGCTTGAGCAATTCCGACGATTAATACTTGGCATCAAACTCGTGATCGCGCGACGTTGCCTTCGGAATTTCTATCGAGGCTCATGGATTCGTGGAATTGCCGTAAGGCACTTTAACTGACGGCGACAGTTGAAATGGATTTCAGAATTCCCGTAGATTTCCCAAAATTGCCTGTATAAAGAACGCGAATCTTTGCGAAATGTGTGCTTACGACGCACATTTATTGTATATAATGCCTTTGCTGCTATTTCTATTTTATAATAGAATGGCTAATAAAAAATGATTCAAATGCCAATTTTTAAAATAACAAATTAATTAAAATCAAATTAAATAGATAAAATAATGGATTAACTAAATAATCAAATTAAATAAAAAATTAATTAAATAATAAAAGAATAAATACTAAAATTCTTTACTTTTAAATAATAATTTACAAATTACTATTTTGAATAATATATTCTCTGATAATTTATAATATTTATTTAAGAGAAAAGCTATATATTATATAATTCTTTTATGATTCGAAATATTGGTCAATTAAAAGAAGGCCGAAATTACTTTGCGAGCGGGATATCACGCGACACGTAATGAGACGTATTACTTCAAGTATAAACTTGGTCGAAAAAAGAAATCGTTCCGCGCAATTATCCGCGCAATTTATTCGCGACAGCACTTCGCGTCGCTTAACATAAGAATGTTGAGCGAGCTTGTTGAGCGTCCCTTTTCTTTCAGCGGGGAAAAACGAGCGGCTATGAAAAGTTTAAGGGAACGGGGGATGATGGTACACATAGTGATGACGGAGAGGGAGGAAGGAAGGTTGCGGGGCAACTTTGGTTCAAATCCGCGATAAGTATGCGCGAAATGTATGAAAGAGAGATTTCGTGCGTGTGGGTGTGTGTGTGGAACAACGAAATCGTGGAGCAGAAATTCGTGAGAGCACGCTTTAAGCACCACAGAGTCTCAGAATTTTGCTATCCCCTTCTATAAATTCACCATATGTGAACTATATTACAGGAAGCTTTTCTTTCTGATTAATACTGGGAAAATTCTCTCTTTAAATTTCTTCACAAATATTGTTGAATTTATATATGTGATTTTATGTATGTATGTACATATCTTTGATATATAAAATCGTATCTTTTATATATCTTCATTTCTTCGATATGTAAATTTATTCTTCATTATAAAATATAACGTGTTTTTTTTTTGATATATAAAATCATATCTTCATCATATATTATAGTATATATCTTCATATTTTTGAAATGTGAACTCATATCTTCATCATAAAATAATCTTCAATATGTAAAATCATATCTTTATTATGTAATATATATATATATATCTTCTGTATATCTTCATATCTTCGATATGTAAACTCATATCTTTATCATAAAATATATCTTCGATATATAAAATCATCTCTTTAGCATGTGTAATATATTATTCTGTATATCTTCATATCTTCGATATGTAAACTCATATCTTCATCATAAAATATATCTTCGATATATAAAATCATCTCTTTAGCATATGTAATATATATTATATATATATATATATATATATATATATATATATATTTTCTATGTATGTTTAACAATATTTGTTTTTACACTTGACTCTTTGGCGAGATCCTGGTTATTTTCAAGTTCAAAGCTAAATTAAAATTACATTTTTCGAAATTAACTTATTTTATCTTTGATTAATTAATCTAATATATTTGACTTTCGGATCTATATTTTTCTCTCGCATTTATTTCTTTAGGGGGAATAGGGAATACATGGAATTAAAAATCTCTTGTAGAGATTATTCCAATTTTATATCTTGGCCGTGTCCAAGTAAAATTTGGTGCCTTGTGCACAGGTATTTAATTCTAATGAAAAAATTTAGTTTCGTTTAGGATAACGCACTGTCATCCGCGATTTGGCTCTTATTGCCTGTCTTATATATGTTAAATTTATACTAATATATTTGATTAAATATATTCGATAATGAAAAACACGTTTTATTTTTTATTTCTTTAGATTTTAGATGTTTGAAATATCTCTAAAATTGCACATATATTTTTTTTGGTTTCGCACAATCGATTGTGTGAATCCTGTTAAGAAGACAGGAGGTCTGGATGGATTGGATGAGCGAAGACTAGAAGCAAAACGTTAGAGATGATGGAGACTGTGTAAATGACGAAGAAAGGCGGCGGATACATATCTCTTTCGTGAGAGAGAAGGCGAAAGACGGAGCAAGAAATTCATCGCGACACAATAAGAAAGGGGGGTTGGGAAACGACGAAAGGGGCGATAGTTAAAGAACAGGGGATGTAACCGTACAAAATGCGACATTACCAGGGACAAGCGATCATTAAGGTCACCCCCGTGGCTAAACAAAGGGATCATTGAGAGACTAAAGCGAGGCTGCAGGCAGTTTGGAAACTAGTCTCTTGAATTGTACATCGCCACTTTCGCCAAATCTCTCTCTCTCTCTCTCTCTCTCTCTCTCTTTCTCTCGTTGGCTTCTCTCTTTCACTGTCACGTTTTACGCCTTTGCATTTCTCTCCGTGCCAGTGCACTTTGACCTCTGGACAACGGGAACATCTCCCACGGGTGCTGTGCGAGTTTCCATTTTGATTTCGCGGTTCAATTGATCGCTCGTTTAAGTCTCAACGGTGTAGGAGCGTCAATTTTTCGCTCGAATACAAAGAAACGAAATATGCAGCATTTTCATCTATTAATATCTTTTATCCAAAAAATGTAATAAACTTTTTATCGATATGTATATTTTTTTCTTAATTAATTTCTCATTAATTATTACGAAGATTACAAAACAGTAAAGAACTTTTATCATTTATTTATATTGATATAAAATATATTAATTTATTATATACATGAGTCTAAATATACATAAACGTGAAAAATTTTAAAAGATAATTTTTTTTTGAAAATTAAGGGAATTTTTATATAAACATATACGCTTATATTTTTTACTGGAGAATTATATTCCTCCAAAAGAGGAGTTAAAAATTATAGGTTCTTATTTTTTTTTCTCAAATGTTGGACAATTTACAACTATAAAATTATTTCCTAAAATTTTTCACGTTTATTTAGAATTATCCTGGATATATAAAATTTCTTAAGATTATTTTTTTAAACTTTTTCTTTAACTTGAATATTTTCGCTATTTAATCGAAAATTTTAGAATAAGTGAAAAACTGTTAATTAATTTAAGAAGAGAAATTATGAAATTTTAAGAACTTGATGTGTTTATTCACGTATCTCATTTAATTTAACGCTCTTTCGAAAAGAAAAGATATGTATACATAATTTAAATCGTCAAAAATTTTTAAAGCATGTCATATCTTGCAAAAGCTCGTAATACAATACCACTGCTTCGCGTGACATATTATGCGCATCGAAGCGTAAATCTTCATACATTATCCGCTGCGCTTCGCTATCAGGTTCAATTGCACCGCATGCATACTGATTGACCCGATATTATCGATAGTTTCGTATATCGAGGAGACGGAGACGCATGACGGACTTGCGCTACCCTTCATGGAGTTTGACATCGCAGAGAAAAAGGGAAGGGTAATATCATTTCTTACCAACAACGCGACAGCCAAACGTCGTTAACGTGTGTATGTCGTCATTGAAATCAGATTATGTGTGCACCGCTGTTTACACATGAATACAAAAAAGAACAGTATGAAAAAAGAAGAGAAAAGGAATTTACACGTAATTTTTCTTTCTTTTCTTCTTCTAAATTTAATTTTTTATATAGACCTTTTTTATATAGATATAACGCGGTTCAAGAGAGTTTTAATTTCCTAGGAGAATTCATTTTTAATAATATTCTAAAAAAATAATTTTCAAATTTTTTCAAATCTTTGAACAAAAAATTATTAAAAAAAATTTTATTAATGCGATTTAATAGAGATGTTCTTATCATGAAGCTTTTGTATAAAACATTGTTTGATATTGAATACTTTTCAAGTTGCAGGTAAAAAATTCTTAGTTTCAATTTCTCTTTTTAATTAACTATAAATTCTAAAAATTAATTAACAGAGAGAGAGAGAGATTTTCACTTATTTTAAAATTATAAAATTCTCGATTAAATGGCGAAAATATTCAAGTTAAAGAATAAAAGTTTGAGAAAATAATTTAAAAAAAATATATTTCTTTTAACGTAAGTCGCAAGAATTTTCATGATATATTTTCTCGCTTCCGACGTCATCAATCCAAGATGGTTGCAGTGAGTATACAGGAGCCTTAAATTAATAAATATGATAGAAACTTTTTTCTCCTCGCGTAATTTGCGTCGCTGATTTCGATAAAAGATCGACAAATTGCGAGCTACCTCGCAACCTCCTATGGGAATCACGTGAATAATTATTTTTGTGCTATTTGTGCATTTGTCCGCGCGGTTAGGTGTCTCATGGCGGCCGTAACCAAATTTATATAGGGTGCACCGCGACGCATCGGAACAGTTATCGACTAAATAAACTGGAAAATGGATCCCTGGCTCGTGGAAAATGGACCTTGCCGCCAAAATTGCCGCTCGACAATGGAGCGAGAGAGAGTCGGGGTTTAATTGAATATATTCGAGTTAATTAAGTATCTGCACATTTTCATCAATATTAATATTGTTTGCATAAATCAAGTAATAATGGGTAACATGGGGGATGTCTCGCGCGCGCAACGTTTTATCATCGTAGGGACGATTACTCAAGTCGTGCAGCGATTAATTATGTTTATGGGGATCGACATGCGAAGGTATTATATATGTGTTAGGTATTAAAAGTAAATTATGCCCCTACAATTGCTTTCTACTCGAACGCAAATGACTAAATCGATTTAATCGAGAGGGAAAGAGAGAGAGAGAGAGAGAGAGTATTTTTGTCTGTATAGAAAAGAAACTATAGATTTGAATTACAGCATTCAAATACAATTATCGATAACATTTAATTATCGTGTGTTTTTTACCTTATCAATAAATGATCGCCGATTGCATCATGTATTATCCTTGTTATATCCAAGCCGCTTTTTATGTTCATTGTCTGAAACAGAGAAAAAAATATTTCTGAGTTAAATGTTTTAAATTAAAATTGATTTAAAACAATTTTTTTAAACTGCAGGATCGAAAAATTATAACAATCTAATGTAAAGATTTTAGCGAATTAAAAATTATTATTCTGCATAAATCGTAAAATCTAAGTTTCATAAAAAAGTTTTAGATAAAAGTTACTTGTATTCTAGTTGAATCAAGGATTCGTTTATAGTACTTGATATCCATGTGTGTACACAACACACATATATCCATCACAAAATTTTACTCATAAGTACTTATAAAAGTATTTATAAAAGTAGTCATAAAAGAATTCATAAAAGCATTCATATAAGTATTCATAAAAGTATTCATATAAGTATTTATAAAAGTATTCATAAAAGTGGTCATAAAATTATTCATAAAAATATTCATACAAGTACTCATAAAAGTATTCCTAAAAATATTCATAAAAGTATTCATATAAGTACTGATAACTTATAAATATTTGATCTCTAACTGTAAGTTCAAATGTACTTATATCCATGTGTGTACACAACGCACATATATTCATCACAAAATTTTACTCGTAAATACTTATAAAAGTATTCATATAAGTATTTATAAAAGTATTCATAAAAGTAGTCATAAAATTATTCATAAAAATATTCATACAAGTACTCATAAAAGTATTCCTAAAAATATTCATAAAAGTATTCATATAAGTACACATAACTTATAAATATTTGATCTCTAACTGTAAGTTCAAATGTACTTGAAATTGCTCTTCTTTTTCGAAGTACTTATAGAGAGTTCGAACCTAATCTATTTCATTCAGGAGTCTATATTTGAAAGTATTTTTTTTCAAAGGAATAAGGAATTCGAAACCACGAGAACAAATTTTAACCTTAATCCCACCTCTTTTTTGATAAACGTTACACATATAATAAATCATTAGAGAACGATGACCATTAATTATCTTTAAAAAGTGCCGCGGGGTGTCACGTTTTCTCTGATTGACCCTATTAAATATCAGACTCTCCCCCGGGGAGCGCCAATATCTATGTCAAGTCTCTCATCTGTCAGGACGATACGACGATATATAGTAGATGCAGTCGCATTCCGACGAATCATCGTCGTCATCATTGCGCGCTGCATTCGGAAAAGAATATTTCTCCTTCCCACACGTGTCTCTCACGTACACATATATATATATACGTGCACATTTGTGCGCCTGGTGTTGTGTCCGGCTCGACGGAGGGAATCGACAATTTGACGGATCGATAACCGTTCAACATGCCGGCCGACTTGATCGGTCTCTCTCTGTCTTTCTTTCTCTGTATGTATATGTACATTCCCGTGGGATTGCTCGAAGGCGTGAAGGCACAGCCATTATTTATGAGAGCCGTAAATCACGATCGATCGATCTGTCAGATCGATCCGCGCTCGTTCGCACGCGCTTCGGTCCCGTCGTTCGAGGAAACACTTTGACGAGAGATGCCCGCATATATGATGCAACTATCACGGCTATCGCTGTGACACTAGTGGAATTATACCGCGCAAACACAATATCGCGAGCATGCGACGTATCCGCATACATCCATTGTACGTACTATACATACATTGCGTACTTATGTCTCTCGGCGATGCCGACAGGTCGAGGTATTATTATTCTTCGTCGACCGCATCGTGTGTGTTGCCATTTCGTCGTCTATTTACCAGCACTTTATTACTCTTTATCCAAAGAAGCGGAAATATTAAACAGATATGCGTGAAAACTTGTGTCATAACAGTAGATAACATGTATGTATATACATATAATTGAAAAACTTATATATTAAATTTTTAATATCTTCAATATATATATATATATATATATATATATATAATTACTTAATATATATTAAAATGTATTAAATTATTATATTATTTATTTTGAAAAGAGGAATGTTTTTTTCTTATATTCACCATCTATATATTTTTACAACAATAGATTTTCTAACATAAATTTTTTAATATATTAAAATATGTTACTTGATACATTAACTTAAATAAGATATTAAATTGTATATATATTATATATTAATATAGTCAATTTATTATAATATATATATTAAGATATATTAAATTATAATTTAAATAATATCTTATTTATTTTGAAAGAAAAAATAATTGTTTTATATTAATTCGCGTAATAATTTTAATTGACCGCGTTAATTGACCTTTTCATTTAGCTTGCATTTCACCGCTTATGTTTGGTTTATTAAGCTTCGAAGATTTCTTGCACAAGATGGCTCAAATTCCATAATGTATAGAAAGCGCTGCGACGAAGATATAGAATTCCTGATTAATAGGCGCTGCAGTGTCAGCGATTTACGATGATTACGCCCCCGATGACACCGCGGAAATACAGTTAATTGCTTAACAGGTGTCGTTTACTGCTTAACACGTCTGCGAAACGATCAGCGCTCTTGTAGGATCAATAAAACAGTAATTACCCGCGATGTTTCGCGCGTGTCTCCTTCAGATTAACAATAAAATTTGTTTAGCCTATGTTTGATTAATCTGAAAGATTGTAAGCTTAAAACCCTTCAAGCTTATTTTCATAATTTTACGCGACAATTAAGTAATACGGAAAAATTGATTATTCAAAAACTTTCGCAATTTTAATCGTCATATTTCATTCAATGTGTTTGTGTATAATACTCTAAAATATTAATCTAATCTGACCTAGCATAGCAAAATTAAATTAACTTAATCTTTTGACTCTCATCTTTAATAATTATTTTATATTTTATTGTTTAATTCTCAGTAGATTTTCTTTATTTTACAAAATTCTTATTTCAACATAGAAAAGGTATAGTTTCAAGATATATCTAAAGCTGTATGTTATGAAAAATAACGTCGCTGAATGCAATTTTAATCGAATAATTGCAAAGTAATACAATGTCATTTCAAGCCCCACGACAAATTTCGCAAGAAAAGTGTCACATTAGAATAAATAAGCAAACTTAAAAAGCGCGATTACTCACAAACTATATGATAACATGTCAGTTTGAAAGAATTCTACCCGGGATTTGACCTAGATTCGCGTCGACAGCTACAGACTATGGAAATCGTGGTCTAACAAGCTTGTTAGCTTCCACCGGAAGGAATGCACGGCCGGTCGATTCGTTGCACGTTGCAAGCAAATTGCGAATAACAATGGCTGATTTAACAAATGCACACAAACTACAGAAACAAATTTATATGTTATAATTTAAATGAGGTAAATAATAAAACTTTGATAGAGTTAAAGCGAAAGAACAATTTCCAATGGTATTGTATAATTATTGCAGTAACGAATATATTTATGCAGAATAGATAATTAGAAATTAATTAGAAATACAAAAATTAAGATAGATAAATTATTTTGTGAGAATTTCATGAGCATTCTTCATCATTACTTATACAAATAATTATTTTTCTAATGATATTAGCTTCTTTTTTTGCATCAATTTTCATATTTTTATTTGTTAAAATTTATTTATATATTAAACTTTGAAGATTTAAAATTTAATTTATTAATTTAAAATCTTTGAAAAATTAAATTAAGATTATATATATTGATGAACAAAGGCTATTAAATAATATTTTTTAGAGTAAGTAAAATTATAAATAAGAGAAAATAATTAAATTAATAAGTTTAAATTTAAAAATATATGTATAAAAATGTTGATATAAAAATATAAATTGAAATAAACGAGTTAATTATTATTAAAATAAACAAATAAATTAGAATTATTATGATAAAAATTCTAAATAATTTTATTTCAGAAAATAATAGAATACTCTTGCAATATGAAATATAATAAATAGATTAATAAAATAAAATTTAAAGATTAAAAGAAAGTGATGGCAAAAGGACTTGTTTTTTGTCCATTTTATAGAGTCGAATTTTGGGACCTCAAATTTCAAACTTTTTTTATGTCAAATAGTACTATATGATAAGACATTAATCGCAGAGAAATTTCAAGATGAGCATAGGCACGGTTACGGAAATATAAAGAAGTAAAAGTGATAGTTTCTCATCCCTGATTATAGAAATTATCACTTTCACCCTCTTGTATCTCCGTGCTATGCTCATCTTGAAATTTTACTGGGATTAATATTTCATCTAATAGTACTATTTGCCATGAAAAAAGTTTGAAATTCGAGGTCCCAAAAAATGGGCAAAATTTGCCATCACTCTTTACATAAAAATTTAAATTAAATGTGAATTTAAAGTGTGATTTAAAAGAACTAGCGTTTCGGCCCGCGTTTTGCACGGGCTTCAAAGCTTTTGTTCTTCAAAGATTTTACTTTTTTTATAATTTATTTTTATTAGACATCAAATAATTAAAATAAAATTTTCAGTGATGAATAAAAATATAATTTATTAATCATTCTACCTGACTGGCCAATACAAATTGTTAAATACACAACGTTTCGACCCTTGGATAGGTACGGGTCCTCATCAAGCGTTACTTTCAAGATGTCAATTAGAATGATGTAGAATTACTAATACTTTAGTAATCCTACATCATTCTAATTGACATCTTGAAAGTAACACTTAATAAGAACTCGTACTCAAGGCTCGAAACGTTGTGTATTTAATTTGTATTAGCCAGGTCGAATGATTAATAAATTATATTTTTATTTTTATTAGTTTTATTTATAGAGTGTATTATTAGTTTACCTATACTATTTATATAAAGACATAGAGTTTGTCAGTTGAATAAATTATTTGTATTTGGTAAAAAATAATATGTTAATTATTATGTCGATTAAAAAACAAAATTAAAACGAAATCGACACAAATATACAGGAAAAAAGGGATATTTTAAATTAAGAAAAGAATATTCCTTTTTTTTACGCAAAGAAAAGGGTATATTGTAATTAATGTGGAATGAATGAAGTATTATTGTAATTGTATTACAATTTTAATCCTTGAAGAGGGATTCCGTCGAGTAGTCACTCTGATCTCGAATATCC